ATATATATATATATATATATATATATATATATATATATATATATTACGAATCGAATATTGTATATGTATATATATATATGTGTGTATAATATTACGATTCGAAGCATCTCTTTATCGATTTTTCATTTTTTACGCATCTCGATGCGTTTACACGATATTTCGAAGTGGGCCACGAGGCAAATTCATTTCACGGACATACACAGCGGTGCCAATGTCAAATTGACGCGAATTATCAGAATTTAGACCGAAAACGACGGTTTCGCGCAAGTAACGCTCTCGAGCGCGCAAGATGGGTAAGCAAGTCTGAATGAAGCGGCAACGGTGAAGAACATTCGGCGAGGAGCTTTTAGTGTTTGCGTACGCGATACTCTTCAGTGCTCGTGTGTGTGTACGTGTCAGTCAGTGTGTGTGCAAGCACGCGCGTTCTCTGAGGAAAAGCACGCTCGAGTGTTCACGTCTAGACGGCACAAAAATCCAATATTAAGAGCCACGGTGTGCGAGTCCAGAGGTAGAGAATCGGAAGTTACCGTGAATACGTCGAGGGGAATTATGCGCCTTGCTTAAAGTACCTCGCGATTTCCTCGAGAAAAAAGGCGACGCGGACTGTAGTTCCTCTGTCTGTTACTTCTTCCTCTTCCTCCTCGTCCTCCTCCTGCCATCTCTCTCCTCGTTGTACGGGCTTTTCTTTACCCAGCTTCGCCGCAATAGCCGGAGACTCTCAAAGAAATTGGGCGGCTGTTGGCGGATATCGTGCGGAATTTACACGCTTTCGCCGTATCATCGCGTCATTAATCTCGCACTGAGTTCGATTAATGTCTCATTTGCGTCGAATAATGACCGTTCGAGTAATTAAACTATTATCTGTTGCACACGCAACGGAATCTTGATCTTTTTTAAATTTCAATAAGCAAAATATTAATTATGTAATTTGTTCAACGCGTCAGAGACAGAATACTGTGCGCGATTAACAAATATTTAAAAAATCTAATAAAGATTAATAGAGGTAAATAGGTAAATTAAAAAAAAAACTTTCTTCTCCTTAGCGTGTAGGAAATATCGATGTTTATAGAAAACGCATTTCTGCCGCGTATGTCTTCGAAACACATGTAATTACTCGCTAACGACGCGCGATATTATCCCACGTCTTCGACAAAAATGACAAAAAAGGCAAAAAATTAAATGGTATAAAAAATATTCGAATTGAAACGACACTAATTAGCAAGTGCACTAAATTTTTTTTATTCGTCATTAAAACATTGATAAAATTATCTCTTGCAGTTTGAAATATGAAAATTTCGTTGAAAAAAACATGTGTATGTGTGCATTATGAATATACAAAACATACCTTTGTGCTAATTGTACGATTATTAATCGATAGTATTTATCAAAACTTGCGCAAATAAAAAAAATTTGTGTAGATGTTCTTTTCGTAGGTGATATTATATACACATATATGTATATATGTAAGGATTCGGGAGTTAAAAATGAGTCTCGTATACTCTCTCTTCTCTCTCTCCTTAATAATAGAAGCGAAGTCGAGTCTCACTCTCTTTTACCAATTTAATTTCACGTGTTACTTGCTTAATTACATGTCGCGGTTCAGAATAAGTTAAGACTTAAAAAAATGTTAAAATATTAACGCGTTAAAATATTAACGCAAAACAACAATAATGATAACAATATTGCAAAATCGTATAATCGCAGACGAAACTCATTCATCATTATAAGAAAATCTCGTCTATCCTTGTGCGTTTACCGATTTCGTTCTCTCTCTCTCTCTCTCTCTTGATTTTCATTTGATCCATGGACTAAATTCGCATTATATGAATTCGAGTCGTACGAATAGTATATCGAAGTTACGTAACGAGCTTTTTCTTCGCCGACGAATATCACGTCTTACTTCTCCTTCGTTGGCTCAAGTTAATGCATTGATAATTTATTCCGTGCTGTGCACACACACACACAAACATACACAGCTGCAGTTCGCAAAGAATAAGACTCGCGTGTATCTTAACGAACTTCCCGCATAGCGCACATCTAATCTAAAAAGTCCGGGAATTATGAGTGCGCTTATCGATTATTACCAGAACTTTCTGCGCATACAGTCCACGACATACAGAGTACACTTGCATATAAAACAGCTGATTAATCCGAGAGACTGCCGTTTTAACGAGTCGTACATTTTTGTGCGAGGCAAAGTTTGATAAATTTCCCGCATAGAGAAGCACCGTTGCTCATTTAGCACTCCCGTCATGAGCGCGCGCACGCCAATCGTACTACAAAGCGCATAACTAACAAGAGCTAAGAACAACGTTAATTTCAACTTGCTTTGGCGCAAGCTAGTGCGGAAATGGCGGCAAAGATATTGTTTGCATTTCGCGTTTGCTCGTTCGCTCTGTTTTTTCTTAGAGAATTTCTTACAATATCAAAAGAAATACATTATTTTGCTTAAAATAACGCTCGGCTAAATCCGTGGTACACGTTGCTCAACTTTGCTGTGCATGAACGCGACATAATTTTGATTCGAATTATTTCGCGCATTCTTTTCTGCATGCACCGGTGCATCAGAACCGGTCATGTGCTCGAGTTTCATTTGTGTATTATCGTATCGAAATATCATCATATCATATCACAGTAAAGAAATAATGAACGTTACCATCGAAATTATGTACAGCAGAGAATCGAACATCGTGCGCCGCGGGCTTTAAAAAAAAACAAAACAGAAACAGAAATAAATGTGAGGCGCGCGAGAATACCAAAACAATCTACAAAAAATGTAAAATTATCCTCTACCATCGTCAACAGTCGGCGCTCATCGGTTGAGCACCGAGCGACACAGTCAAAACACCTTAAAGGCGGTCATGTTTACCTTTGTGTCTCGCGGATTTTTCCAGGTATTCTCATTCAGTTCCGGGCCGGCGAGTGACACGCACACCACAAGCTACATGGATCGTTGTATTAACTATTGTTCCTCTACACGGTCAAAACATCCGGCGCTTTCTAGGCGATCTTTATCCGTGTGCCTCGCGGATTTTCCCGGATCTCGTCATTCAGTCCCGGGCCGGCGGCCAACACTACAGACTACGCGTGTCGTGTACGTTATCTGTTGTTTCTTTCGGGTGATTGAATTATTTCGTCGGTATTTTGAGGTACTTAGTTTCTCGTCGGCATCGCGTTATTCAACACGTGTGTCTTCGATTGCATCGCGTCTACGCGAGTGTCAGTGTCAGTGCCACGATGAAGCAGCCAAGTTACTGGGTTGAGAAGTCAGAACGGAGGAAGAAGGACGCCGAGACGTGGGCAGCGAAATATCATATATTTCCAAGGTATGCCAAATCATTTATTATGGGGAAAGTTTTCGTTTTTAATGAACTTATGGCGGGGATAAAGAAATACCCGAGTCGAAATCTAAGCCGGCATTCATAGTGTATCATCATTCGATCTATAATTCAGCTTCCTTGATCTTCGATTAATCGCCTATTTATATTTATTACATTATTTCTGTACTATATTTATTACATTATTTCGTGCAAGAAACAGTAACTCCCGAACAGTAGAGTAACGGTCCATGAATACGAATCTGTAGTCAATTATGCTCTCTCTCTCTCTCTCTCTCTCTCTCTCTCTCTCTCTCT